TTGAGATTTTTCTGTAGCAAGGAAGTCTTTCGTGAGATCAAGCGCTGAAGGTGCGGATGGCGCGGGAAGTAATGTTTCTTCGCCAAGCACTCCAGCGGGTTCCAGTTCACCTATCTCTGCATCGGGTATTGTGGGTTCGACGGTAATAGTTTCCACCACTTCGACAACCATTGAAAAGCCTTCAGTTGTAGGCTGAGGCTGTGGCTCAAGCTTTTTGACTACATCGAGATCCTTAGCAGGCTCAGAAGCTTCGACAACTTCTGGTTCTTTAACCGCCTCTGGTACTTCGACAATTTCGGGCTCTTCGACCACTTTTTCAGGTGTCGCCACCACTATAGAAATCTTTGCTTCTTGTTGAGATTTTTCTGTAGCAAGGAAGTCTTTCGTGAGATCAAGCGCTGAAGGTGCGGATGGGGCGGGAGGTGATTTTTCTTCACCAGGCACCTCAACGGTTTCCAGTTCTGCTATCACTGCATCGGGTATTGTAGGTTCGAAGGTAACAGTTTCCACCACTTCGACAACCTTTGAAAACTGTTCAGTTATAGGTTGCGGCTGTGGTTTATGCTCTTCGGCCTCCGTAGCAGTTTGTGGAGCTTCAACTTCTTTAGTATCTGTAGGCTCTCCGGTATAATTTAGATCAATTTCTGTATTTTTGACGACAGTTGTTTCGGCCACCACGGTGGTGTTGATTGGTTTCTCTACAACTTGCTGAGGTTCTGCGGTAAGTTCGTGTTCCTTAGTTGGCAGAGGTTCTTTAACTGGCTCAGCTTCTACCACTACGTCCTTTAGCTCAGACTCATTTACCAACACCGTTGATTTTTCTTGTAATGACTTTTCAGTAGCCAAGAAATCTTTTGTGAGAGCGAGTGCTGTTGGCGCAGCTGGAGCCGCGACGAAAACTTCAGTTGAATCTGGCTGAGATTGAGAAGTTTCTTTGACTAATTCAGGTTGAGCTTCAGGTTTCACAAGCTCCGTACCTGCTTCAAGCACACCCACCTTTTCACCTTCTGTGATATCAACTGTGACTGTTTCAATCACATCGATTTCTTTGGTTGGCTTCTCTTTCGGTTCTTGCGCTTCAACAGCTGTCGGCTCTTCCACTTCTTCAACGACAAATTCATTCGAAACCTCCACCTGCGGTACATTTTCCGTACTAGTAGTCTTAATAGTGGTTGTTGTTGTTTCAACCACACTCTGTACAGCCGTTGAAGGCTCTGGAACAGTTGTGGTTACCTGAGCTGGTAGCTCTTCAGTTTTCACAACATCTGCGTATGAGCTTCCTGTCACTTGCACTGGTGGATGTTTCTCTGTAGACACGCGTTCATTAACCAGGAAATCGGTAGTGGCGTCGACAACTTCTTGTCGCTTGGGCGTCTGGAAGTCGGCAGTCTGACTCACTACCAATGTTGTCCAAGGCACCTTATCTTCGGACTGGCGTACATTCACAATCGGCGCTGGAAATACTGTTGTCTCAGTTTGTATGAGTGCAGACCATGTTGTGGGTTGATCTGTCGGCGATTGCACAGTAACTTCCTCCGCAGGCTCTGGTATTTGCGAAGTGTCGTCTGTCTCCGGTAACTCTTCTACGGGCTTTGTCTCATTTTCTGTTACTGAAACCTTTAATTGTGGTTTCAACTTGGCAGACCAATATGAGGTCTGACTGATAAAGGCGTCGGAGGTCGTAGTTGCAGTAGGAGTAGTCTCAGTTATAAGCGCTGAGCTTTCAGTTGGTACTTCATGCAATTCTTCCAGTTCAGCTTCATCCGCATGTTTTTTCTTATTTTTCTTCTTGGGTTTTTTGGTTTTCTCCTTCTTTTCGGGTTCCAACGCTATAGTAGTGCGTACCTTTACGCTTTCGTCAACAACACTTTCTGGCACAGCTTCTGTTGGCTTGGCTGTACTTTCTTCGTAAAGTGGTCGTATGTGCTGGACGGGCTCAGGCACATTTTGCGCTGCAATAGCCGCCCATGATAAACCGGTCGTTAGTGGTGTAGTTGCTCTTTGTGGCTCTACTACTACGGTTTGCTCTACAACGATGTTTTCTAACTCTTCAGATAGTTGCGGTGGTTCTTCTTTCTTTACAACTTCGGCTCTTTCTTTTGGCACATCTTTACTGCGATCGCGATTTGCCTGTTTGCCATGCTTGTTCTTCTTGGTTTTCTCAGGTTTTTGATGGTGAGCAGGAATATCTTCTTGAACTGACTGCTGTGAGCGCGAACGTGATCGTCTGCGTCGTTTTTCTTTCTTAGATACACACTCAAGGAAGCCTTCGCTGTCTGTTGTTGGTGGCGCTTCCTCAGTAATTGTGGGAGCTTCGGTAACTTTAATGGCTGGACGGTCTATAGTGCGTGATGGTCTCGCTGGCGCACTGGTACTCACAACATCGCTGGTTTCATGTGTTACGAATATCTTTTGTTGTGGCTCCTGCGGCGCGAAACTTCTAACGATAGACGCCCAGGATGAAGTGCCTGGTTCAGTAGAATGTTTGTTTTCGTCCTTCATTATTTCCTTCCATGTCATTTCCGATGCCCATGATGAAGTTTCCGGCTTCGGTTCTGGTTCTGGCGTTGGCTCAATCTCTTCACTTTCAATCATATCTTTCCATGACATTTCAACTGTCTCAGTGACACATTGCGCATCTTCTAGCTCTGTTTCAGCTGCAGTTGGCGCCTTAGGTACTTCAGGTTCAGGTTCGTTTACGGCTTCTGCTCTAGAAGCTTCCATTGTTGGCGCTAGCTGTACTGGGTGTGTCTCAACAATGGGTTCCGATTGCATTTGCTCGAACTCCACAAGTTCTTCGGTAGATTCCGGAACTTCCAATTCATAGGGCATTGATGCCTCTGCTTCAGGCGCAAAGATTCGCGAAGTAGTTGGCTCACTTTCAAGCTCTTGATAGCGTATATTAGTATTATCGACCAAACCAGATTTTCTTACCACTTCGGCGTATGTTTCGGACCTAGACCAAACTGAAGGTGGTGCGGCAGGAGCTACTGTCTCTTCGTGAATTAAAGTCTCCGGTTCTGGACTTGGTTCGGAAACATGTTCCTTAGTAGGTTGCGTTGCTTGTTGCTCCTCTTCTACGACATTGGACTTTTCTTTCTTCTGCTTTTGCTTCTTTGGCTTTTCTTTTCGTTCTTTAGGCCGCACGGTTTCAGGTAGTTCATTGACTTCCTGCTGTTTAGGAATAGTCACTTCGGTTTCAATCAATGCGACGCTTTCTGGATAATGTTCTTTCTCTTCTATCGCAATCGCGGCATCATAAATAGTGTCTCTTACAGTCTCAGTTATTACTGGACGCACAACTTCCTCTTCTTGTTCCTGGCTAACTATGGCTGACCAGGAGAGGGATACTTCAGCCGAAGTCTCATCTGATTTTATAGTTCCTCCAACTGGTTCAGCTGGTTTTTCATCCAGATCGGCAATTTGTTTCTTAATCTTTTCTTTTCTTGGTTTTCCGTCAGACTTTTCGGTATGCTGCTTTTCATGTCCGATGAATGTATGTATTGTGTCCTCACTAGCTGCATCATCTAGCGATTTTACTTCTGGAATTGGTATGACATCTTGGTCAAGACTCTTCGTCGGTTCTTTTCTGCTTTCAACTATTTCCGTTAGTTCGTGTATACTTGTTATTGGAACTTCTACAACATTTTGACTAACGATAGTAGACCATGCCATTAATGGCGTAACTGCAGGTGTAGCCGCATGCTCAACAACTGTTGGCTTATCCGGCTTCGTTTCTTCAACAGCAGCTACTGTTTCAACTTTCTCTGGTTTTTCCTTTTTCGGCTTTTGCTTCTTGGACTTCTCCTTGGATGGTTTGCTCTCACCAGATGTAGTAAAGCTTTCTGTGACTTCTGAAACAGTCTGTGGGATTTCTGTGTGCTCTTCTACAAATTTCACCGACTTTTTAGTCTCAAGCGCTTCTCTCTTTTCAAAAA